GTATAGTCTTTATATAGCCTGGCATTATACTGTACCATTTGACTTAAACTCTTACAGTATTTAGAGCATGATAGTGGATTCAATATTAACTCGTCTTAGCTGCTTAGTTTATCATTTGCCTGTGCAGTACATCAACTGCTTCATACAAAATTGCACACGTGTGGGTGTTGCTGATGTGTCTTTGTTGATGCACATGCACTTGCTCTGAAACGCTGACACAAAGGCATGACTGTAAGTGAGGAAACACCATCAGTAAACAAGTCTGCAATAAAGGAAATTGTTCACTGGGTCACAAACCGCAACAGGGCTGGAAATGAACCCTCCTGTTATGTTTGTTTCTGAGGAGCGGCAATGATGTTCCTGGGTCAGTTTGACCCGGGGTATGTTTTATTACCCAAAAGTGTCAGAAATTTAAAAATCCTAATAAACACTGTTTACATCTCATTAACTCCATTACTAAGCATTTCAATCAATATTTAGTGCAATGGTGTTTTTTATGACCCACAGATCATAAGGAGAATGCACTCATTTTTCAAAAAAATGCATGTTAAAACTTTTTCAAATGGTTTTTGGAAAAACCTATGTATAAAATACAATACTTTTACATGACATTGATCTTTTCTAGAATTCTATTTTTTATTATTATTATTATTATTATTTTTATGTTGTGATCTAGTCCTGATCTTTCGGACCGTTCCAACCATTGTGAGTTTTCTCTTTAGAAGAAATTTGTCTTGGGCTATTCACCCATGCTGCAGCCAACATAAACCGACACAAACAGGGAAAATACAGGTAATAGGTAGAATAAATAAATACATCAAGTAAAAGAAGAGTAAAAATGAATATCATAGTCTAATTACATGAGTCCAAAAACATAGCACTTTAAAAAACAAACAAACAAACAAACAAACAAACAAAACTATTTGAGCTATTTTACTTATTAATTAGCCTAATCAAAGCCAGAGCAAATGAATTTTTAAACCTGTTCAGTCGGCAGTGTGGGACTCTGAGCCTGAAGGTAACCACTCATACTCTGAGTACAGGCCATGTGATGGATCACTGAGGAGCTTGTTGGCCAGGCACAGAGCGGCCTGCTCATAGGTGTTTTGTAGGGAGGGGTGCTCCTGCTCACCTATAATTTTCCACGTAGTGTGGACTAGACACAGCAGCTTGTTTTTCAGCTGAACGGAGAGGCTGCCATACCAAGCTGTGATGCTGTATCTGACTCTCCAGCACTGCATTGTAGAATATTATCATGATCTTTTTATCCACCCCATGGCGTCTTATGCGAAGCAGGGAATACAGTCACTACTGCTGCACAAGTGCTCGACATGTGTGCTCCAGGTTAAGGTATTATCAATGGACACCCCCAGACACTTGTAAGTGTTAACCTGAGCAATAGTTTGATCATAGACTGTATAAAAGATGGACGTAGCTACCGTGACGTCACCCGTTGTTTTCTGCAGTGGGAAAATGAAGCCAGGGTTTTGCTACTTCCTGGTTGACATCTTGGATTTTTGGAGCCAGTGACGCAAAAATCGTCGGAGGGGGGCGGAGCCATAGGAGCAGCGATTGGTCAGACGGATTGAGAGGCGGGCCCTCTCTGCCCGCCCACATTTACCGCCTTCTGCTGGCTTTGTCTGTGTTGTCGCTGCCGACTGTCAATCAAGCCAGCCACGCCCCTTGCCCCGCAAAATGTTGATGATTTTTTAAAAATTCAGTATTGATTTATTTTCAGATTGGCCACCTGATCTCTGGACTTGACCATGAAAATTAATTTTTAAAAAATCCTGAACTGGAGGAATGCGGTATTTCGTGATCTGGGATCACTTCATTTCCAATTCATTTCTATGGGAGCCAGGGCTTTTTGGAACCAGGACTTGCGGACGTAGTGATATTGCAGGTTTTTGACACTTCCGGGTTGGCTTCATTTTTCGGGGCCGGTTGCTACGTCCATCTTTTATACAGTCTGTCTAAAACACACTCAATCTCTGACCTCAAAAAATTAATATTTTTTTCAAGACACTTCATAACAAATGAGGTAAGTGTGACAGGGCGATAGTCAGTATTCTCCAAGCAGTCTGCCTTTTTTGGGATCGGGCATGATGATGGAGCTTTTCCACATTGCAGGGACAGTATGAGTATCTAGTGCTTTCTGAAAAACAGGGCTCCAAGCCTCTGCCATTTCAGTGCTGCATGATTTTAACAAGCACCTGGAGATACCGTCTGGACCACAGGCCCTTCGGTGACAGACAGGTGAAAACAACCCCTCCACAGTCTGCTCCTCAGTTCTAAAATTCCCACAATCCAGAGCTGCCTGTTGTTCTTGTGAAAAGTCTTTGGTCTCAAATCTGCAGAAGAAATTGTTAAGCTCCTCTGCCTTCTCTCCTTCATTCAACACATTCATACCCCTTTTAATTGGAGCCATGTTTGTCACTACTTTGATGGAGTCCTATAGTTCTCTGGCAGTTGGACTCAAGTTGCGCCCCAGTATCATGTCTGGCTGCTCTAAGTTCCTTATTTGAAGCTCTTTCACTTTTAGCAGGTCTCCATTCTTAAAAGACGCCGTTTTCTACCCTTTTCTACACTATTTTAGTTCCATAATTTATTATCGCTCGTTAATTAACACAGTCTTTTGCTCTTTTTTTTATATAGCTCAGGAGACAAAATTGTGATTCTAGTTTTCGTTTCAATTTTTATTTTTTCTCACATTTTCTCCGAAAAGTCAAGAAACAGGTGAGACAGGTGGAGGATAAAGCTATATATGAGCTTTATTTGATGCGGGTACCAAAGAACAAATGTGCTGAGTTATACTGGCAGGTCTTCCGATTTTGAACCGTCCTCCTCCCGTCTCATCTATTTCTCCGAGGGAATTTGAGTAGAAATATGTCAGACGGACAAATCGAAACAAAGACGAGGCTGGTTGTCCTCGGTGGTTAACTGTACCTGTCAGATAATTAGTAACATGAGGTGTATATTATTATTAATAATAATAACAATCATAACAAAATATGACAGTGTGATTCCTTAACTCTCGTGGTGGCATAGGTGTTATTCACTCTCCGTAGTATAACAGAAATCCTCAAATTCTCTTCAGGCTTTTTGGGTTTGTTTTGCTCCACGAGACGATTTTTCAGCGGCTGAATCTCGTCAAAACTACGAAAAATGTTATGGATCCAGGAGCTTGTTTGCGATTGAGGTTTTTGTTTGACGCAAAAGAGCTGCTCAAACGGAATCACTGCATTTGTAGGATGTCTCTCTGTAATTTACTGCTGTAAGATCTGGAACTCAAGTGTCCCATGTCACAATAAATATGAAACGAACCGAATAAAAATAGGTTACATCTACAACGTGTGTGAATATGTGTGAAATCAATAATGCAATATGCGATTAATATAAGAATCTACTTATTCCGTCACTGCTAAATACATATATTAAAGTACCATAAAATATTAAAGCTACCACACTTCGTTTTTACCATTTTAGGGTTTTGAAAAACGACGCTTTTATTGTTTTGTTCTGCTTTTACTTGAACTAGCAGCTTTATACAGGCCTTCTGAATTTACTGTTGTCGTCCCCTTTCAGAGCGCAGGGCCTGCGAAGGCTTCGCAACGCCAATTTTTAAGCGTCCTAAATTAAAGTTGGTAGAAAAGTTCGAGATGGAAAACGAGCAAAACAGGGATAAGAAACATTTTCAAGCAAGGACTGTGGTTTCTGATGCACCAGCTGTCAAATAGGACGCCGAGAATACGTTACCCTCCCGAAATTACAAGGAAGTCTTTAAAATAAATAAATAAATTAATTAAAGATCGTCCATGCAAAAAAAGATAAAATACTGTAGTCTACATTTCTTTGTCTGGCAATACGTATATATATATATATATATATTACCCCTCAAACAAAAGGATGTCTTTTTTTTCACGTGAAATATGACTAAACATTTGCGACAGTTCCCTGTGGTGTTACCTGTATTGAAACAAGTGTAATTTGACGCAACGAAAAAGGTTTGCTACTTAATTAAAAAAATAAAAAATAAAAATAAATGAATGACGCAATGGAAAAGAAGAAAACAAATCGAGAGTTGAAACGGTGCAACAGGAACCAAATAGTGCGTCAGCTTCTGCAACGAAATATTAGTCAGCCGCAACAAGACCGGGGGGACATGCGGTGCCTTGGGGTCTAACATGTGTCAAAAACTTTGTTATTTATTTATCTATGATTTGGATCCGGACATAGGTCAGAGGCAGCAGACTGAGTGTATCATAATTATCAGGAAATACCCAGTCTGGCCGGTTGTCTTCACCGCAATGGCAGAGAAACCGGGGGCATGAAAGAAACACTGTCTTTTCAACAGACTTAATTACTGTACCATATGTGGCCTGAAAACGCAGCACAGGAGCAATGTTTAGTAAAAAAAAACAAAAACAAAACAAAAACAAGTCAGAATAGACAGAGTATAAAGTTCTTTGAATGATAAAGAAAAAGTGAGAAAAGGTTTACAAAAGAAAACCGTTTTCAAAAAAAAAAAAAAGAAGGTGCAGTGTGAGGGTAAATTGCATCACGTAAAATCTAAATACTCAGATTGCAAATATGATCAGTGATGGAGTCAACTGAAATGTTCACATCTCACACACACACACACACACACACACACACACACACACACACACACACACACACACACGACCAAATCTTGAGTTTTAAATCCTGCTCAAGCTTGTCCCACCATGTGTGCTGAAAATCTATATTACACATAAACTATATATTGTCAACACACACATTAAACGCTCCCTTATAAACATCACCTATAAATCGTTAAAGAGTGTATTTGCAGTGGAGTTTTTTTTTCTCTTTTTTGGGGGGGAAGGGGGGGAGATCAGGTTTTCACGCAATCACGCTGCTGTTTTGGCAGCACGCCTATAAATGCCATATTTTCTAGGTAATGGGAGGTGGAGCCCACGGTGACTGTAAAAACTTTGTGTCTGTTGCTTTTCTGTCAGAGTCTGTCAGATGCACCAAAAGCTCTCCAATATGCTCCTGTCGTGGATGATCACATTCGGTATGCATTTTGTACATCTGGGTTCTGATCCATTTGAGTGATCATTGCTTTAAACAGTATAACAAAGCTAAATGTTGCATTTGTTTTTTCCCCCTCCTCCTTCTTCTTCTTTTTCCAGGATGGCTTATTTATGGCTCCATTACTGTTGGTGAGTAGGGCTGATTTCTTTTTTTTAATTCTGTTTTTCTTTTTCTTGATTGCCTGAGCTCCAGACAGCGTGTGTGGTTTGCTTGCTCCTTTTCTCTAGAACACTGGCAGCATTGATGTTCTGTGATGTATTTGCACAGTTGCTCCTTGTTGAATTAGGTTGAATGAGGTGTGTAGCTGTGTGTGCAACTCAAAGACGAAAAAAAAAAACCCAACAAAAAACGTAGACGTGGGTGAAGATGGTGTACGTGCTGGATTTCAGAGTGTGGATTTTTGAGTAGAGGATGGATGGATATTGACTCGAGATTTAGAAGCCAGTGCTGATTTTAAAACTTAGGCCATGTGGGTGATGATGGAGCCGAGGGAGGAAGAGGGAAAGGGAAGGATGGAAAATTCAGGTGCGTTCCACAGGGCAACTCCAAAATGCGCAAAAGATTTCTTCTGGCTTGCCAACTGCTGGGTTTGTTTTTTTATTTATTATTTTGTGATTCCAAAAAAAAAAAAAAAACTTGCTTCGGCCAAATGCGATGCTTTTTTTTTTTTTTTTGCAATGCGCAATATCTCGTGAGAGGAGTGAAAGTGAAAGGAGGATTCGGCTTTGCGCAGTCATATGATGTGACTCACTTCACCCTGGAGCATTATTTTTTGTATTTGTTTTGGTTACACTGCAATATACCAACAACGCCCGTACTGTAACATTTAATCTTTTTTTTGAAAAGAAAAAAAAAAAAAAACTTTATCAGATCGTCATTCAGCGGTTATCATTCGTCATCCAGCTCATGTTAATCCGAAGAGCTTCAGCAAACTGAATCTGAAAAGCCAAGTAGATAAGTCCAGTAGCAGGATAGCACATGGAGAACTGACTGACAGCAATTAACATTTCGGAGCTGGTTGAGGCCAGAAACTGCAGATCAGAGACGTGAAGATCCAGATACCTGCAGACAGAGCAAACGCAGAACTTCGGGAAAGACAAAGTTAGTGATATGTAATGATCTCATAAAACTATAGGTAAGACAGAGAGCGAGGGGGACTATAGGAGAGGAGCTCATCATGAGAAGTCCCCCAGCAGTCTAAACCTATAGCAGCATAACGAAGGGAGGGCTCAGGTGATCCTCAGCAGCCCCAACTACAAGCTTTATCAAAGAGGGAAGTTTTAAGCCGAATCTTAAAAGTAGAGAGGGAGTCTGCCTCCCGAACACAAATTGGGAGCTGATTCCACAACAGAGGAGCCTGATAACTGAAGGCTCTGCCTCCTGTTCTGCGTCTCTAAACTCTAGAAACCACAAATAAGCCTGCAGGCTCTGTTCGGATGATATGGTACAAGGAAGTCTTTAAGATAGAATGGAACATGGTGATGAAGAGTTTTGTATGTAAGAAGCAGGATTTTGAATTCTATTAACCCTTTATGGGGCAAGTGACCATATTTGGTAACTTCCTTGGACGCTCAATATGTCCACCCTGTGCCTCTCCTTGAGGTTCAGGAGCCATGTGCACTTTGATTTAGTTTTTATATTAGTGCCAGTATCACAGCCTTAGGAAAAATGGCACTAAACAAATGTTCCAGGCACTTTATGAACGCTTTGTTACTGGTTTGCATTGAACTCCACTTTGATTTATTTTTTGAGATTAGTGCCAAAACCACTACCCCAAGACAAATGTTACTACTTACTTGTGTAAGTATCATAACCTCAAACTAAAATGCTTCTAAATAAATGTTTTTTGCAGTTTGTTACTTTTTCTTTTATTTATTATAAACCCCGCGCCCACGACGGGCAAGTTACCATATATGGTAACTTTATTGATCTTGATTTGAAACATCTTTTTTTTTTTATTGTTTTTTTTTCTTTTTAAGTTAAAAAAGTAAAAATATCTTGAAATATCCTTCTATAACACCCAAGGGTTGAAATTTTCATTTTCCAAGTATTTCAAGGAGTGCCCTATAAAAAGTTAAGGATTTTACAGGGAGCCTACGAAGAGAAATTAATGTGGCAGAAATATGATCTCAGTTGCTGGTTCTTCTCAGAACTCTGGCTGCAGTGTTTTTGTATGAGCTGGAGGTTTTTAAGAGAATTATTGAGACATCCTGATAAAAAAGGAATTACTGTAATCCAGCCTAAAAGTTACACATGTATAGACTAGTTACTCTGAGACAGGATGTTACGCATTTTGACAATCTGATGCAGGTGAAAGAAAGCCGTCATACACACGTGCTTTATGTGTGAGTAAAAGGACATATCCTGCCCAAAAATAACTCCAAGGTGTGTCACAGTAGGACTGGAGGCCAAGGCAACGCCATCCAGAATAACTATCTGGTTAGACAGTGTGTTTCTAAGGTGTTTAGGGGCAAATACCATAACTTAAGTCTTGTCTGAATTTAAAACAAGAAAATTACACGTCATCCAGGCCTTTATGTCCTTAAGCCATGCCTGGGGTTTGACTAACTGATCGGTTTCATTTGGCTTTATAGATAAATATAACTGGGTGTCATCTGCATAAAAAAGTAAATTTATGCAGTTTTCCCTAATAATACTGCTTAAGGGGAGCATGTACAAAGTGAATAATATTGGTTCTTACTCAGAACCCTGTGGAACTCCAGTTTAGTGCAGTTCCTTTAATCCCAATGACACATTCCAGTCTCTGCAAAAAGAGTCTCTGATCCATTGTACCAAATGCAGCACTGAGATCCAGTAGAACCAGTATAGAAAGTAGTCTACTGTCTGAGACTATTAGGCACTGATGATTTAATGGTACTTGGGGGTAGTAATCAGTTGCCTAATAGATTTATGAAACTGACAAACCTAGACAACAATGACACAACAAACAGCAAATGAATGAATGCAAATAAAGTAAATAAATAACCTTGTTCATCCCTGGAAGTAGTTGGTAGAGTAGTGATCAGTTTAGACCACTTTGTAACTGAGAAGCCAATCGCAATTCCTAAATTCACCCATTTAGCTGAAAGGAAATGATACTTGTGTAGCCTTTGTAGGAGGGAGAGGATTTGTCGCTGGGATGATCTGCTGGATGAGTCAGTTCAGAATCGCAAAGACAAGATGGCACTTTTGCATCGTTGTGTTGAAAAATGGAGAAGTAAAAACACTAACAGTCGAAGCTCATAGTTACAAAGAAAATGTTCCCACTGTTGCATTGTAAAAGTAACTTAAGTAGCCCAACTTTAGATATAACATAGAAAAACAAAGTCAAACTTTAGTTGTGAAAAAACTTGAGAAAAGTATGCCATAGTTATCAAATAAGAAAAGCCCAGGTTGTCTAAGCCAGCATGAAAATAAGAAATGAGCTCAGTGAAAGTAATCAAGTACAACGGCCGGTAAAATATTAGAAAACAAAAGCCATCGTTGCATTCCAGTGACTTTCTTTTATATAGAAAGCTTTGGAGCCAAATTTAAATCAGCATCTGACCGATCATGGATGTGTTTTGAGCTTCACTGTCCAGGAGAGGTCAGAGGCCAAATACCATTACTACTTACTTTGAGTGAAGTTCTTAAATGCATGAATTGAATTGGTAAATATCTATGATCATTGAAATCCCACTAAACATATGACTAAAATGACTTAAAACATGATGTGTTTAGCTCATAAGGTTCCTAAGAGAATAATAAAAGGTGTTAACATGCATACCAGAGATGTTCCATTTAAGTGGGAATTTTGGGTTAGCTGTCTTCTGACATGGTTTCTTCACAAATGTTGTGGGAAAAAGGATCTCTGGATTCTTTTATGTTGCTTTGGAGTGTTTCTATTCTATGTCTTTACCATATTTCTATGTCATATGTCAAAACAGGGGCTGCATGGTGGCTTGGTAGTTAGCACCGACACCTCACAGCTAGAAGATCCCCAGTTCACGTTCCAGTTAGTGGAGTTTGCATGTTCTCCCTGTGCAGAGTGGGTTCTCACCAGGTTCTCTGACTTCCTCCCACAGTCCAAAAACATGCTGAGGTTAACTGATGATTCTAAATTGTTCTTAGGACAGACTGGTGTTCCCTGCCTTCAACCTGAGTCAGCTGGGATAGGCTCCAGCCCCCCCCCCCTCAACCTGAGTGAGGATTAGGCGGTGTGTAGATAATGGGTGGATGGATATGTCAAAACAAGATCATGGGTGTGGTTAAAGCAGTGAGCTGGTTCATTTACATTTTAAGAAAAACCACCTAACAAGAAGCGAAATCCAGTATTGAGGCTGTCGTTCTCATCGTCTACATTGATATTAAAGCTACCCAATATAATGACTGTATCTGTATGAAACACTAAATCAGCTAAGAACTCTGAGGATTCAGATACAAACTCAGAGTAAGGGGCAGGTGGGCAACAACGAGCACAACTGTTTTTTGTGATTTCCAATCCAAAAGTGCGAGAGACTAAGAGTAAGACTTGAATGAATGAATCATAACTAAACTTTAATTAGAGAAGCAAGTTGCTTCTGGGTGAAGCTCTGGGGTGTTGTCAGATTCATTCATTTGCAGCTCAGCTGTATTGCCTTTGGTTCATTACTTGAAACTTGTGTTTGTTGACAGAACCTGCCTTGGGAGCCAATAAAAACCCCAACTGTGACCGGTGAGTTTCCCCTTATTAACTCCTTTGTCAAGTGAAACCGCATCTGCATGTGTTATGCTGTGAGTTAGGTTAAGCTGCCTGCAGGGGCATTTCGCTTTCTGCGCTGTGCAAAATTTGTTCCCTTTGCTCTCTCAATTTTAGGAACTCATTAATGCACATTAAACCTGCATCACATTCCACATTCCTATAAATTACACGTAATGCAACTATTTAAAGATAAAAAAGCACTTTAATTTAAGAAATTTAGCTGCACGAATAGCAACAAAATCAAAACAAACAAAGTAAATTATAACATATGAACCATATCTGACACACAGTTATGAGTTCCAAATTCAACTGTTGCCTTCCCTACACTAAGCCCTGTCATGACATGATGCTGAATGAAGAGCACTTATGCATGAGATACAACCCTGCAGAGCTAAACAGAAACTTGTGTACTGGATGTTGTCAATGATTTTGAAAAAAAACAAAACAAACAATATTCTTTGTTATCATCAATGATGATAAATTTTCCAAAGTCTAATAGTTTATGCACTTTTGCAGTTGAAACCAGAAGTTTACATACACTGTATATAAAAAAAACTAGGGGTAGGACTTTAAGGCGTTAACTACGATTAAGTAATTACAACAAAAATAACGCATTAAAAAAAATTAACGCATTTAATCGCAATTTGCATCCAGACAACAAGGACAAATTTCATGTTCCATCGATTACACTGATGCGCTAGATGCATCAGCGCTACGCGAACAGCATCAAACATGGAGGAATCCAATGAGAGTGCATTGCTTGGACTGATGGAGGGCAGGTTTTATTTTAGAAAACTGCCTGATGGAAGCCTTGACAAGAGCGTGGTTTTGTGCAACTTGTGCAAAAAATAATTTGCATCCCACCGAAGCACATCAAGCTTAGGGTACCACCTGAATACAAAGCATGTTGCAGCGAGCACAGTGCTAGTAGTCCAGAGGGGTATACTACGAAGCAAGTTTGACATAGCCAGGCTTTCTTTGTGTAAGCCGAATCGACAAAACCGAAAGCCCCAGCCAGAGATTACGGCGATCACGAAGGTGGTTTTCAACTTTCTTTGTTAACTCAGACTTGATATGATGTATATATTCGCCTGCAACCTGCCCCACCGCCGCCAATGGTGGCAACAGAACTGTGACCGCCAACCTTAACTGGTATCAGCAGCCAAGTACTGCCTGTGCCAAGTGCTCTGTCTCCGTCTCCACCGACTGTGCGATATTGTAACTGCACGGCTTCATTCGGTGATATTTGTAACGCACAACTCAGCATGTTTACAGATAAAACACATTCAATGTTAGATAGTGAGAAATAAAAAGGGTTTTATGTTTTTTTAGGGGTGAGATTCGATTAAAAAATAATCTAATTGATTAGAGGCTTCATAATTAATTGATCTTAATTAATCGCATTTTAATCGCACAACAGTATTTGCTGCAAGAAGCAAAGTTTTTCAATTTAAATGGATTTTGGTGTGTTACTGAATCAAATGATAGACACATACATCCATTTAAACTGCAAATCATTGTTTATTTTGCAACAGAGCAGTACTGCTTTTAAATGGTAAACAAATGTCAACCAACAATTCAACATAAAGTGCCATTTGTACAGCGTAAAATGGTAAAATGGTGTGGGCTGCCGACACCGCTTGCTCGTACTCGGATCAGAGGGCTGTACTACGAAGTGAGATTAGTGGGTAAGCGAGGTATGTTGAGCTTAAAGCCAGAGTTTTCAGTATCATGAAGGTGGCTTTCTTTACCTGGCTAGATCTCCATGGTAACTTATGCTGTGGAGCTAACCTGGTCAGGAGCAGGTTATGTTCAGAGTTTCAGATTTAAATCAGCTGGAAAGAGCGTCTCCCTTTAACCAGATTGTTTCCTGACTATTATTTATGAGCGATACAGATTCTCAGCTTTGGGTCATTGTCCATATGTAAGACCCATTTGAGCCCAAGCTTTAACTTCCTGGCTGATGTCTTGAGATGTTGCTTCAATATTTCCACTTAATGTTCTTTCCTCATGATGCCCAAGGATGAACCAGACTTGTGGAGGTCCACAATTATTTTGGCTGATTTCTTGAGATTTTTCAATGTTGCCACAAAAGGAAGCAGTGTGTTTGATGTGTGCCTTAAAATACATCTACGGGTGTGCCTCCAATTAACTCAGATTTTTTCAGTTGATCTATGAAAAGCTTACAAAGCCATGACATCATCATCATCTGGGCTTTCCCAAATAGTTTGAAGGCATAGAAATGTTAGTGTTTGTAAACTTCAGACTTTGAAGAAAGAAATGAAAACTTTTCAAAAAAATGTTGTCTCTCATTATTTTGGCATTTAGCAAATAGAAATAATTTTGATAATCCTAACTGACCTAAATCAGGAAAAGTTTAGTCGGATTTAATGTCAGACAGTGAGAAAAGAAAGGTTTTATGTTTTGTTATACAGTGTATGTAAACTTCTGGTTTCAACTGCAAAAGTGCATAAACTATTAAACTTTAGATAATTTATGATCATTGATGATAGCAAAGAATATTGTTTTTTTTTTCAAAATCATGAACTTACAACATCCAGTACACTAGTTTCTGTTTAGTTATGCAGGGTTGTATCTCATGCATAAATGCTCTTCATTCAGCATCATGTCAACATCTGACAGAGAGTGTTTTGTACTCAACATTCCTGCCTAACTTGTTCCCCTTTTTTGTCATCAGGCAGCCGTTCGTGTTTCTGTGTTATCTCCCTTGTCTGCTGATGGCATTTGATTCCACCCTCAGTTTTACTGGATGTCTCTATCGCTTAATCTTCTCGTTATTCTTCCTCTGCCGTTGGAGTCAATTGCAACCTCTAGGACCAAATTTTTAGAAACTGGCACACTGGCTGGGTGCAGTCTCCTGATTCTCTTCACAAAGTATCATGTTTGTACCTCAAGCACTTCAGCGCTACCAGTGGATCAAAGCTGGAGATGCATTTATGTACATAACTTTTGAATCATCGCCCAATTTTCAAAAATGAAATACCATCAGCTTCCTCGGCTCACACCGAGTTCAAAATGTGACATCATTTGATATGACATCAAATTGGATTTTCTGACAGATTACATCCAGTCTGGGCTGGAGTCTATCCCAGCTGACTTAGGGTGAAGGCAGGGGACACCCTGGACAGGTCGCCAGTCTGTCACAGGGCTACACTTAGAGACAGACAACCAAGCACACTCACATTCACACCTACGGACAATTTAGAATCACCAATTAACCTCAGTTTTTCACAGTCTACTGATTTTTCCAGTCTTTACCATATACAGCACAGATGATCTTCAGAGATTAGATTATCTAAACCGTTTTTCCATTTTACTCAAACAAAACCAAAACCAATCATGCAAAACAGAAACTGAGATCATATCTCAGCAACTCTTTCAAGTTTCACACCCCTTCCTGAAGTAGTCTGAATAGATTTGACACCTCGATAAGCATTTTTCAGTAAGCGTTTTTCTATGCTTTTAACATGCTCCGATCAAGTTGCCGTGGTGACAATGCCCTGCTGGCTCTTTGCTCTCATCGTTTGACATACAGTACTATTTTGATAAGTTCCTTCTTGAGTGCTGGTTATTGCTGTCAAGTACTGTTTTATCTTAGGTCATATTAAATGGCTTGAACAGTTGTGACAAAATGACACAAATGTGGACTACATCATTTCAATTCAATAATTTTTTCAAAATGTATTGTCGTATAGTATATATAATTATTCATTTTTCTAGTTTACAACATATCTCAAGACATCTCACATAGTCAGATGAAGCCTTTACAAAATGTATACAGACACCTAACAAATCCAGTGTTTCCTTTAGAGTTCCTTTGAGTTGCTCTTGGCAACAATGGGGAGAAAAAAAGATAAAACTTCAGGAAGGAAGAAAAAACCTCTATGTCAGAGTTTTTTTTCTTGAAGTCAAAATCCATGTTACATGTAAGTAGTTACATGTAGTTTACTGCTAAGCTGAAACAGCCCAAAATATAATGCAGAAAATATCATTTGATCCTTAAGTGTTCCTTAAGAAATGTACAGGGGGAGTGCATCATTTGGTACAGTTTTGGTTCAAATTTTGGAATTGCCAAGATCTACATCCTCTGTTATTTGTAACCAGGAAGATTGTTAGATATGTGTAACTCACGTTGTTGATCTATTTGGCTAGGAAGAGCGGCGGATGCAAGTCTTGGCAGCTCAGAAATCAGCTCTGCCAAATAATGCACCACCATTTTAAAATGATTTTCTGATTCTATTCATGGTCTCTAAATCACATTTAAATCTTGGCTCTTATTGAAAAATCCACACTCTGTGAACATACAAAGACTTCCTCGTTGAGAAGTTCAGTTGCGTAATACAGGATATCTCCTACATCAGGGCAAGATCTGTAATGTTTGCACACTACAGCTGTGTAGTTGTCTCTTGGACCAGCATTGACTTAGTTGTGTTGTCACAAATCCTGATGGCAGCTAAAAGTCTTAAATTCAGATTTTCAGACAGTTGAGAGAAACATTTCAGTTTCAGGAGGGCAGTTTAGTAACAGGCAACTTGCGTCAAACTCTGAGTGTATGTATCGCTTTGAATTGTGACACTGAAACATCCAAGAGAAGAAACACTGATCAGGACACATTTTTGAGTGGAAGGGGACTTTAGTACTTGATGTATTAGGTAAAACTCTTAGCTCTGCAGTGCGTTCTCCTGCACAGACGGACAGAGGAATGCACATGCATTGAGCTATACCCTGCATTCACATATTATGTTCACACAAGTCCCACAGAGGGCAGTATTACAAAGGAAACTGCTGAAATAGGCCTGCCAGGATGCTGTGTTAATGTATAACATAACTAGCCTATTTTGAATATATTTACTGTGTCGTGTACAAAATACTGATGGATGTCGACGACAACAGTCAGAGTTATGTTGTGTATTTACAGGAAACTCTTTCATGGAACAATGTATGACAGTCGCGAGGCTGTTGTCTGTGGGACTCGACTTCATGTAGGGGCTGGGCTGTCCTGTTGTGGAGATCAGCCTTTCAATCCTGCAACGGCCACCTGTTGTAAAACAGAACATGAAGGTAATGAATTTCAAGCCAGCAACAAGTTGAAATGTTGACTTTGTAAATATGCATAACAGCAGAAAGTCATTGAATAAGACAAAGATGAGAGAATGTAAACATCTAAGCAAAGACACTTAATGGTGCGAGGAGCAAAAGAAGAGGCTTAAAGGCAGCAGTTTCCCTAGTTCCAACTTGTTTCAACCTCAGTGGTCTTCTTCAGTTAAAATCAGAAAGTCTGTGATGACTTGTGCAGTAAGGAAAAACCAGGAAGCAATGTGATAATCACCAGTTACTACTGATGATTGTGGGCGTTTTTTTATGAACATGTGGTTTGTTTTAGTGCTTTTTCTCACTGAAACTAAAGTTTGTGATGTGTCACTGAAATGAACAGTTGAGAAAAATGCCACAACTCAGAAAACCCCTTTGTGGGACTCTGTGATTGTCATGTGATACGTACTGCACTGTGTTTTTATGGTGTTGGATATCTGTCTTTATTTCAAGACATGCTCTCAGTTGCTGAGGAAAAAAACAGCTAAAACTAATGCAGCTAAACACAAAAGCGCTGTCATAAATCCTGCCTTCATTAGGGTTATCATTTTCAGTTGAAAGTGTTCTTACAGAGGGTTGATTCAATGTTGTGATCATTTTGAAGGCTGCTGACTGTAGTGCTGTTGAATTGTGAATTATATTACTTCAGAGTGAAACTAAAAACTTAGTTTGAAGTAATAAATTGTCAACCAAGTGTATATAGCTGTCATACAGTGGTGAAAAATTAGAGTAGCTAACTGCATTATCTTCATGTACTCGCACCAATAATAACAACCAGATAGCATACAGATTTTTTATGTTGTGCTGTATTTTAGGCATTTCTATTCCTTTGCATAAATAAACACATTTCCACCGTGAACTGATGCAGAAAAAGCACAAATTGGTGCATAAAAGTTCACCAGCAGGTCACCAGAAGTGGAACACACACATAGTGGGAGTGGGTGGGAGGGGAATTTAGAAAGCAGTACTCTAGTACTCAGTATGAACAGATGAATTTGAATTTCCCTTCTGGGATAAATAAAGTATTTTTCATTTCATTTCATGAACACTTCCATAGTAAAAGGAACAGCTTTAAGGAGAGAATTGAACACCTACTTTTCCCACTTCTCCCCAAAGTTTACATAATGTTCTCAGTTTATGTGTAAAGGGAACTGATCTCCCTCTGAAGGCTCTGGCTACCTCATACAGCCAGTGGAATCTTCAGAAGTTGATGCAACGCACGTCTGTTCCTAGGATTAAGGCTTCCCACTGACTGTAATCCAGTTAGAGAACAAAAGGATGTGAGGCCGCTCGTTGAACTTGGGAACTTCCCTGCAATTGCAACATGATCCAGCTGTCACACTGTGTTGGAGTTAAGTGTACTGCTTTGATCTTTGTTTTTACAGCTAATGTGACACAAGATTTAAGTGAAAAGGTGTCAACTTGTTGTGGACTGACAGCCTTCAACGCACTCAATGAAATATGCTGTGATTCAACCGTTGCAGTCAAAAATGCAACCACAGCTGAATGTTGTGGTAAAGGTGAGTAAAGCTGGACACAATTCATGAACAATGGGCATCGTGTAAACATACAATATACACTTACAGAATGGAGTTACATTTTCCCACACCATGTTTGGACCTACTCATTAAGGGTGTTTATTTATTATTTACAATTTTCCAAATGTAGGACTAAAAATATCAAAACCATGACATCACACATGAAATTATGCAGTTAACAAAAGAGTGTTAAAGAAGAAAATGATGTTACATATTTTGGATTCCTCAGAGTACTGGCGGTTTGCCATGATGACTTTGCCTGTTACTGACAAGGCAGTGCCTACGAAAAATATTCATGGTCAATATAGTTTGTCATTTTGCCAACATTGTGTCTGTGTGGTTAGATATCTATCAGCCTTTCACATCTGGACACAATTGTACCCAGTTTTTCTTTGTAAAACTGCTCAACTCTGCCAGATTGCGCAGGGATCATGAGTTAACAACCTATTTCAAGTCCAGCCACAAATTCTCAAATGGATGGAGGTCTGGGCCCTGACTTGGTCCCTCCAGAACATTTAGCTTGTTGTCTTTAAGCCATTTCTGTATCACTTGGCTGTATGCGTTGGGCCATTGTCTTGCTGGAAAACAAATCTTGTTCCAAGTAGCAGTTCTCTTACAGACTGCATAGGTTGACCGCCAGAATTTCCCTACACTTTGCTGTATTTATTTTACCCTCTACCTTTACAAGCCCTCCAGGGCCTGCTGCCGAGAAACATCCCCACATCATCACAGAGAGAAAGATTTGTTTGTGGTTATGTGCAGTGTTGACTAGGTTTAATTTGCCACGCTCCCATAAAACTTTGACAGGTGAAGAATAAGCATCAGTTGTTGTATGCACAGTCTCTCTCATCTCAACTGCTGAAGCTGGTAACTCCTTCAGATGAGTTGCAGGTGTCTTGGTGGCCTCCCTCACTCGTCTCTCCCTTACGCAGTCACTTATATTTTGAGAATAGCTTGCTCTAGGCAGATTTGTTCATGTGTTATGTTACTTACATGTCTTATTGATGGATTTAACTGTATTCCTGTAAATACTCAGTGATTTGGAAACTAACCATCACCCTGATTTATGCTTTTCAGCAATCTGAGTAACCTGAGTTGCTTCAATGTTCATTTTTTTTGTCTTCATAGCGTAGTTATAGCCAGGAGTGCTGATTCATTGGTGACTGGGCATTCCAGATACAGATGTCTTTATACAACTGTTAACCCGATTCTTTAGTTGGAAGCCCAAGAACAAACCAGACAAATCTTCAGTTCACAGATGTAGAATTCATTCAGGTCACAGGTAAAGTGAGGCAGCGCTGGGCTTATAGTGACAGAGCTCTCGCGAGAGTTCTATCAGAAGGAGCCCCGATATCTGGAAATGATTCACATTTATCTTCTTGGGCTGGGACTGCCCAGCCGAACAGATGTTGGACTTGTACTTAACCAAAGTCAATTGGCCAGTTACTGTGGCGTGAACAGGCTAACCACTGTTCACATGGAAGTTCAGTGGAATGTAAACAGAAACTGCTCTGATCGATGTGTGTTTGTTTCCGAAAGGGTGTGTATCTAAAGTAAACGATAGAATAGAGGCGTTTCCACTGTCTCCTAGTATGTTTGTTTATCAGTTCTAACCGGCCCTGTTATCTTCAAGGATGTGCATTGTGCTCAGTAGAAAAGTGCAAAACGGGATCATAGGTTCAGTGGAGAAACACGGATTCAGAATACATGACAGCTCAAAACATAGCTAATTAGAACACTACAATCACTCAAAACACATCCGCTGTGCTGAGTTGCGTTTAATTACTATGTAGAAATCTGTTTTTAATTTGACACAAGGGTCTAATTTTCACAAGTTCTCGTCATAAAAGTCTAATTAAATTGACCATAATTTAGTGTTTAAAAACAGTAAAAGGGGAAACCTTCTAAGTTGGGTGAATACTTTATGAAAAGCACTGTATCTTAGCAGTTTCATGAGGTAGTACCTGGAATGGTTTTGTATCACCATAGAGACTTTTCAAGAGTTATCGGGTAAAATTTCTTGCCTTCGTAAGTCACTATCAGTAGTGTTGTGCTGAGACAGTGCGGGCATACAGCAAGCAGCCATACTCATCTGCTGCAGTAATCCATATGATGACAGCTCAACTACATAATGAGAATCAACTGTCTATCATTACTTAGTTAGAAAAAGGTCAAAACATTTTCAAAAACTGTGTTGTTACAAAAACCGTCAAATACTATGATGAAACTGGCTCTCATGAAGAAGAATGTCCTTTTCTGCAGAGAAGTTCATTAAAAGTTTCCAACCGCATAACCGCAGATTTAGCAGCATCCCAGACTAAATCCCACACTAATGTTTCCTAGTATTCAAGCAGCAGAAATATCTCAATATCTACTGTTTAGGTGAGGTTTAGGTCCATAGTCAAACTGCTGCTAAGAAAACAACTACTGAGAGAGATCAATAAGATGAAGAGTACATCATGGACGAAGAGACACAAGGGCTGGACGTTAGAACAGCAGTAATCTAGACTTTGGTCAATGGGATCTTTTTTTTCAATCCATGTCAACAGAGAAGCTACATCCGCATGGTGCTTGTGTTAGGGGAAACTTTGACGGTGGCATTGTTGGTAATTAATTTGGTTGCCACAGCATTCTGCAGCAACACACCATCCTGTCTGGTTTACACAGACAATGTCTCCATTCTAACACTTGGCCTGAAGGATATGCAACAGCTTGTTATCTCTGTTATAGCTGGCATAACCATGACACATTTATGGAATTATCTTGATTTCTTAATTTATTTTTTTTTACAGCGGCTTATGATAAGGACAAGCAGCTGTGTTGTCGTCCAGATAGTGACCCGGTGATTCTGGAAAAGACATCCCCCCACCACCGGTGCTGTCGCCACAAACTATACGACTTCACGACTCAGTGCTGCCACTGGAAGAATGATACACATGTTGAGGTGAAACCTAAACCTCCAAAAGGCTGTGACGGGAATTCAGGTGCAACTGCAGGTCAGCTATTGAGGCCCCTATACAGTATGTGGTAACACTTATCTTACAAGTTTATAGGATGCCATACTCTGCGAGACAGATATAAAAAAAATGTCATTTGCGTCAAACTGTTCGTATTCGTCTGTTTAATGGCAGCTCTATGATATAGAGATAAAAAATACACAAGCACAGACAGGTTGCCAAACTTGCTCCATCGTCATCTTGTCAATACTGTACAATACACATGCCAGTGTGGGATTTGCATGCTCCAAGTACATTTACATTGTAGTATAGTTCATGCTAATTTTTAATTACTTTGTTTTTTGTCTACAAACTGAAAGAATTTTTTATGTTCTGCTTCGGCTCGCCATGTGTGTCTCATGATTGGAAAATTTATGACACAACATTGTGTGTGGGGGCCTTAACACATCTTTCATTTTCATGAAATTCTCATAGTGCAATGAACAGAGAGGTTCAAGTAAGATGTGTGATTTCTGTGTGTTTGACTTGATCTTTGCACTTACAGTTAAAACCACTCATGGTACCTGTGGACAGAAAACTTACAACACACACACTGAAATGTGCTGTGGGTCACTTGTCATTCCCAAAATGTCAGCAAAGGAAAGATGCTGTGGTGAAGGTGAGTAGAGCTGATCGTGACACAATCATCTCCAGCATGCCAGTGAAATAAACCAGCACACTGGTCAGAAACGCTGAATGAAAGGCGAGCTGAGTTCACAGTGTTAAATATCCAGATTTTTTTCTCCCCACAGGTGCATACAACTACGCGACTGAGTGCTGCTGCTGGCCAGATCACGGACCCCCTGAGAGGAAACCAAAGACCTCACCCTGCTGTGCAGTGACCTCAGGTGCATCTTAAGATCATCCCTTGCCTAAAGAAAACTGTTTCAAATGTTGCTGTCAACTCCATACTTCGTATTTAGCTTTTTCCACTGCATTCCAAAAATCATGAAATACAGACATTTAGAATTATTACATGCAGGTGAGATAGACTCTACCTGATTAGAAGGCAGTTCAGTGAGATAAATAACACCAAAGTCTGACATCAAGACAGATATTCTTGATTTCTTTTACTTGAGAACACCAATTTGTTTCAATAGTTGATGGTATTTCCATACTGGATAGAAGGAGAAACATATTATATATAATTCTCTGAATATTGTATTTGTTTTGTTGGTCAGGAGCTTCAATTTGATTGTTAGACTCTTCCAGAGTGTTAGACCCGATTCTTGAGTTGGAAGCCCAAGAACAAACCGGAGAAATCTTCAGTTCTCGGATGTAGAATTTATTTAGGTCACAGGTAAAGTGAGGCAGCGCTGGGTTCAGAGAGACAGAGAGTAATCTCATGTCCAGCTGAACTGAGTTTTTCCAGATTCAGGTTACATCTTCTTGGGCTGAGACTGCCCCGTACAGTACAGTCAGAGGTTG